CCCTGTACAGCTGTCATGAGCGTTTTTTGCACCTAGCTGTAAACATGTTTATTTCTGCTGTAAAGTTGGGCATTTTAATATGGGGCCTTATAGAGATTAATTGTTTCTGCAGCCAGCTTTATGTGGTCGTTCAAAGAACTGTCACTTCCAGACACGGAGGTTGCCACTTTCATTGCGCCTGTACATACTTAACACCACACAGAAGATCTAGCAACAAATATGTAACATTTATTTTTCTATTGCTTTATATAGAACGTGAGCAGATCAGTCTCAAAGTGGTCCAGACCCTCGGCAATGACAAAGTGCAGGTGGGATTTTTTTTTTCTTTTGTCTGTGAGATGATGATAAAACTGCTACATAACCTTTCAACTGCCTTACAGTGTCTCCTTGTGCTTCTTAGTACGGTGTTGCAGTCATAAAGTATGACAGGAGGGGTTTCAAGCCTCGCCCTCGCCAGCTGCTCCTCACTAACACCTTTGCTGTGCTGGTGGACAGGACCAAGATCAAACAGAGGATTGACTACGCTGCTCTGAGAGGTGAAAACTAGCCCTGAGTGGGGAAAAGGGGCCGTTTGTGAAATCTGTTATGTTAGAATACTGAATAATGTCCTTGAATCCTTCATTTGTATTTGTATTGCTAAAGAGGATTTATTACAGTTGTTGGAGTTGAATTAGGTCTGTTTTTCTTTGACCTTCAGCAGTCATAATATCTCGATTACTGTGCCTTCTCTGTGAAGAAATATCCATGGCAACCAAATGGTGTTTGTGTCCTATGCCCAAAGAAAGATACTTTTAACTGAGAGGACATACAGATATTACAAATATTGAACCAGTTATTGATTTAACAAAAACGTTACTGATTTTTTCATTGCAATTATGTTCCTTAGTTCAATGAGTCTAAGCCAGGTTTTCTCTTTTTAACAGGTATCTCTGTGAGCTCTCTGAGCGATGGGATGTTTGTTCTGCACATGCCCAGTGAGGACAATAAGCAGAAGGTAATGGTGAGACGCAGACTCTTGACTGTTTACAAGTGCACAACCACGAAGCCAATCTAAACGCAGCTGTGTCTTCCTCAGGGCGATGTGGTGCTGCAGTGCACCCATGTGATTGAGCTGGTGACAAAACTAGCCATGATGGCCAACAAGGTCAACTACGTCAACATCAGCCCGGGCAGGTGAGGCCTGTCTGACTGCTTCTCTATGTTGGTTGTTGCCAACCTAACGGTACTAATCTCCCTATCCTGTCTTTATTTGTTTCCTCCCGTGCGGCGTGCAGTATTAGGTTTGCTGTGGCTCGAGGCAAGGAGGGAATCATTGATTTCGTCAGGGGTTCAGAGCTAAAGGTGGCCAAAGGCAAGCGAGGACATCTGCTAGTGGTGAGTCAGCAGCAGTTCTAATGTCATGTGTGGAGCCTGCAGGGAGGACGGGTTTTTTTTTTTAACTGTATTAACATTTCGGCCAGCTGACTGTTCGCTGTGATTTCACTCTGCAGACTGCCCCTCGGATCAACACCACATGAAGAAACGGAAAACAGCAACCAGACAAACAGTAATCCTTTTAGCTAACCGGAGGATTGCCACGCAGAAGTTTGTAGTCTGCAGCATGATACCACAAAGTACATCATCATTATTACAAGTGTTGCAATAATTACTGCTAATTATTTTAAAGATTAGAAAATCATACCATGAAGTCGCCACTGTTCCAAATGCTTCATCTTTTTATTGTCAGTGATAAATAATCATACACAAATATATTTAAACACATCAAATATAAAAATGTCTTCTAATGTAAAACACTTTACCTCTTTATTGTAAGAAAAATAAAACAAACCACTTTGAAATAAATAGCATGTTAATAAATATATTAATAAATAGTAAATATATCTTTGGAAAGTCCAGTAGATTGAGGGCTTGGGGGAAAAACAGGATGTTGGAAAGAGTTCTCTCTGCTCTGGCAGCTTATTGCTAACTTACAGTTAGAGCTAAGACAGAAACTCTGGGAAATACCCAAGAAAACCCATAAATATGCACTAAAACATCATATAAAAAAAGCTTAAATGGTAGCTCTGTGTAAAGTGTTGACAACACCACTGCAGCACTGATTAAAGTTATCACGTGTATTCCAATTTTCTGTTAGATGCTGATTGTCAGTTCAGCCTTTGCTTCTTTTAGCAGTGTGCATGTGTGTGTTGTCAAGGTCCCAGTGCTCTTTCAGTGCTGAGTCATGTGTGTTTTTGCAGCCAGTAGAAGAAAGTCTCTTGCCAGTTTGGTGAGGTAAAGATCAAGATCCCTCAGAATGATGTAACCCTCAACTCGGCTGTCCCACACCGTCTTAGACCTGGTTTCTGGGTTCAGGGGTGCCCGTACTGGAAGAGAGGTTGGCCTCATCCTAGAGCTCTGCATGTAACTCATCTGGATAAGAAAGCAAAACAGTTGATCATCAGACCTTGGTGTCACTTCCTCCAAAGTGTGCGTGTGGGCTAAAAAGGGGACAAACCGTGGGTGGATTTCAGTAAGAAGACTGTGGATACCTGATTGCTTACTTGGCTCATCAGGTCCCTCAGGTCCAGCTGAATGTGCTTGATGCTCCGAGGTAAAGCCCCGACTCCCGCCATCTGCTCTTTCTCCAGCTGTTTTCTCTTCCACTCCAGCATATTCCAGTAGGTCTGCATGTCCCTGAGGGCAGCATGCAGTCGTTCCCAGTCCTGAACGCACAACGAGAGACAACCACACAATTACATAATCAAAATGTTGCACAACCCCCTTTGAAGGCCTGAAGTTCTAAAAGGGGAATTCCGCTCAAATTTTTACAAGTTTTACACCCTGCAAGAGCAGAGTTTCAGACAATGTCATTAGGTTTGTGTTTTTTTTAATGCCCATAATGGAAAAAAAATCTTTTTGAAAAATTAAAACAATGGAAGAAATTCTCAGAAAACTTTTAGAACGTTTTTTTTCGCAATAACAACCGCAGTGTGATTTTCTGTGGGATTGTTTTGAAACACTCAGACAGATACTAACCGTCAGTTTTAGCCAGCTGTAGAAATCTGTAGAAAGTGATGGCAGGTCCTTCAACTGACGGCTTCTGTCCTCAAAATCCTGATTTCCCAACTGCTGCTCCTTCTATTGAAGTAAACAGTAATGATGAAAGATTTATGGATAGGGAAAGCTAATGCTGGATGTGTGCAGAGCTCACAGTGATTAACTGTTTGTCAGGAGAGCAGAGAGTTTTCAGCACTCACGTATTTCTTCTGCAGCTGCTGGACACGAGTTCGGGTGGACCTCGTGAGACGAAAGGAATAACTATATTTATTCCTCTGGAGGTCTGGAGATGGAGCAGAGGACTCCACACAATTCATTATACAGCAAAGGAGGACGAGAGTCTGCAACCAAACAGTCATCTGAAACAGAGACATGACTAGAGTTATGGGCCGTTTAAATCAAAATGATTTGCTCAGCTGCTTTTCAGGCATAAACCCACTCAGATCTGTCACTTCTGTGACTCTTCTGACTGACACTACGGTATCACTTCCAGCACACATTGGGCATTCCGAGGCTGAGTGTCTCTTTATGGGAACTTAACTGTACTAACCATATTTAGTATCCAAAAGGAAGTCCATTAATATTTCTGAAAGAAAAGCCACCCCCGCCGTCCAACCCCCACAAAACGACATCCCCAAACAAGCTTTCTGTCTTATGTAATTCAGTAACACAACAGCTGATCTGGTTGCACATGTATGGAAAAAGACATTTTTTGATTCCTCTAAATGGTTTCAGTGTGGAAGGAAGCATTTTTTTCTCCATTTCCTGTGGTCATTTTATTGAGTTGCATCTTGTGTCGTTGGTGCAACACAGTCTTCTTGAAGAGTCAACATGTTTCTCATTCACTAAAACCATGACAGTGATCTCTAATGATGTTGACAACCAAAGTTCACTCAGTTCTATACAAATAAACAACAGAAAAGTTATGGGAACTGAATTTATAATGAATATTAAATGTTGTCAAGCATACAGGAACATTGCTGCTGTTTGACAAGCCTGTACTTGAAGTTTGACGTGGACTTAAGCGTGTCCAAGACATACAAACAAAATGTTTCCCACAAATTGTTCCATTTCTATGCACTGCCATAAACACGCCGTCACTACAGTTGCCTGCTGTGTTGTTGTTTTTTGTACATATGCTCACATGGTGATACAGAAAATAATTAAAATATGAATTGATATAAGTAGATAAAGATATACATTTCCCAGGATAACATACTTAAAAATACTCAAACCCTCAAACTCATGTAAAGAATGTATTATTTTTAAGCTTACCTTGGAGGAGCGGGAGTGAACAGTGAACTCTGAGCAAGATGAGGTAACTTCATGCTATAGTGAGTCTGTACAGTTTATATATTTGTCTTGTTCTTGCTTTCGGTTTCTATCAGATTTGGAGTTTTTTCTTTTTTTCCTTTTTTTACTCTCTCAGCATCTTGCGGTCACTATAATTCAGGCAGGAATGAGTAAGCTGAATAAGGAAATGCATTGACTTGTTTTTTTTTCTTCTTCTTTCTCCTTTTTTGGTTATATTGCATCTGGGGAATGGGTGTTTTCACAAGCACTAATTAAAGTTTATTATACCTATTATCTAAAGTGACACATAATAAACAGTTTCTACCCATATTGTGTGATTATGCCCTTTTGTCTTTAAGTACTGAATATGGTTGTGTATTCAAGGATGCATCACCTTTTTACTTTTATTTATTCATAAGTTAAATGTCACACAGACACACTAATAGACAGATACAAAGCAAATGCTTTAATTTTTAGGGGTGATATTGCCAATCACAATTACAGCAATGTGTATTAATGAGCACTGTCACTGTTCAATTAAATAAACAAACTACTTTATTCATGCAGAGTTTCATGACATGGTCATTTAACTGTGTACTGAAAGTGGCAAGCTGTCAGAAACTGCTAACTTCTGAAACTTTTTTTTTTCAAGAATCGGTGAGTTCAGTCTTGACTGAGCATCTTGAGGGAATATTTCGGGAGTCCCATGATGTTGATGAGTAATTACTGACACACAGTTTCAGTGATTCTCACAAAAGCAAAACAAAAAACAGGCCCCTATCATTAAGTTTTAATGTTTGCCAATTTCTGTTTCTCTATATTGTACTCTCTCCATTAATTTTTTTCCACCACATTCTTATTTTAGCCTCCTCGCTTACTCTACGGTATGTTACTGAGATTAGAATACATTTTAAAATGCCATTACGGTAGTCACCTACAAGACCATCCATGGTGTGACTCCAGCCTTATTAAAGACATTTTAACCCCTTACAGCCCAGCCAGGGCCCCTAAGATCAGCTGACCGAAACCTTTTAGCTGCTCCACTGACCAGACTCATTTTTACAAGATGGTCTACACCTAACAATGTTTTACTTTTTCATTATTGCATTACTTTCTTGTTTCCTCTTTATAGTACTATTTTATGGTGTTTTACTTTTACTTTATTGTCATTACATGTTACATGCACTTTGATCTCTTTTAAATTCAAGAGTTTGCTCTTTTTTTAGCGTTGTATCTGCTCTATATCAGATCATTATTTTACGAGACCACCCCCTATAGTTACATCCTATTTACCTATAGATGTGATTCTCCTTAACTTAGATTTTACCAGCTTTATTTGAGCTTATATCTTTTAGTTACATTTCATTATGTATATGATGTTATTCCTTTTATTTTGCACTTACACTTATATATGTGCTCTCATGCTCCCAATTTGTGCATGCATCTTAATATATACTTTATATCATCCTGATTTTGTATGAATCTTTTTAGTTCTTGCATTTTCTTTCACTGTTTATTTATCATTTATTTTCTATTTGCTTTTATTGTTGTTTTTTAATGCATTGAATTATGTGAAGTTGTGAACTTGTTTGTTAAAAAGTTATCTTAAATAAAGATGATTATATTATTATTGTTGTTACTGTTATTATTATTATTATTATTATTATTATTGTTATTAGTTGTGTATGTATGTTTCTCTGGGTCTAAAAAACAAAAGCTGGCGCTGATTACTGGACTCTACCGAGGCATCATTCCTAACTTTGCTGCTGTGCAAAATCATTGTTATTAAGGAAGTCATTAAAGATACACCTTGTCATAACTTCTATATGCCAGTTACATTTGACTGTATGGCCTTCAATCACATCTCTAGGCCGAGTCTGGAAACAATATATTTTTTATTCAGTCTAATTCTGCCATGTTCATAGTACAATTTAAAGTGTTGGGTTTGTATTTTTGGTTTTCCTTATGGCTAAAGGAACAGCTCACTCTTCCAGGAAATTATGCAACCATGAGGGGCTTGATAAATTGTTGGAGGTAAATTCCCAACCAGAGATAAATCTAATGTGTGGGCTACAACATCGGAAGTCACCCAATATTCAAAGGAGTTACAACTGAGGCGTATAAAATGTTATTAATCACCTCCATGTCTTGTCATCATAATGAAAATTAAACAACTGTGTTAAAGCTTTCGTGTACTGATCACTGAACTAGAAGGAAATACTGAAAACGTGTGATAAACCATATTTATCTGTCTATTTATCTATTTATTTATAAAATGTAACAATTTAACAATCCTGCATTAAACAACAAGAAGGCCAAACTTTTGAATGTTCTGGTCGATTCTTTCTTCTTTCTTTTCTTTTTTTCCACTTTATTCAGTTTGTTTATATTCAGTCACTTGGATGTCAAGCAAGAATTGATGGCCTGATAGACTGCACTTCTTTGATTAAACCTAGATTAAATGTAAAAATCATCTTTCTTGAGTTTAATGGCCACTAAGCAGTCTCTTCTCAAACCCACACTGACTTGATCAACAGCAACTTGCTTCTTTATTTTTTTTTAAAGAATAATAATTTTTTTAAAAAATGGTATTGTTTAAATCTGTGGAGGATTTTTCATGTTTTTTAGACAACAGTTAAAGTTAAAATCAAATAATAACACTTAGATTTAATGACACATTTCTCAAAGTCAGTTTTTGAAGTTAAAAAAGTTTAATTTTAGACACCATGTGTGAAAAAGAATTATAAAAAAATATAAATAATATACATAAAGAGTGTTCAGATTCTCTGAATCTGCAAGCACGACAAAAACACATATCTCATAATGGGGTCAAGTAACAATATAGGTGTCGGAGAGGGCAAAGATGAGATAGTTTTGTGAAAATTCCTTTGAGATTAGTCCAATGCGATTATTTTTGAATATTTCTGCGAAAATCCCTCCTCAAGAGAAACACTAAAACGTTAGTAGTTTCAACCTACCTCTTTGTGGTGTGCAGTTTCACTTTTGAATATCAGTTTTGGGTTTTGCTTGGCAGCAGGAAAGTCAAGACAGTTACTTTAAACTGAACTTGTCACTGTCACTCTGCAGGGTTCAAAGCTCACTCTGTCTGCAAACCTTGAAGCCATAAAACTATAGATAATACAGTCTGATTTACAGTTTACTGTTTTCTGATTGCAATTATGTAAACTTGTATGATCCAATTAAATCAATTAACCTCCGACGTGTTACATTTTCCTTTTGTGTTATCGTCATTCTAGGAATGGATGAATTAACGTTTTGCAAACAAACATTTTTAAAAAAATTAATAAAATGAGGAATAACATCAGAATAATTGAAACTTGAGAATGGGAATACACTTTATTTGGACAGTATTTGTGACATTTCATAATTGTTGAAATTCAAACATTCAGCTGTTTGGCTTTGACTGTAGATTGTTTAACAAATTACCTCCAGAGCATGTGTGACAATTCACGAATGTACCTACATATTCTCCCAATAATTTTGAAATTTTGAAATAATAGAAATAATTACAATACATATAAAGATTTGTTGTTATATATGTTTCCCCACTGGTTAAGTAAATGTTTCCTTTCTTTCTTATAAAAGTTGTTAAATATTCTCACAAGTTGTAACAGTGGAGTTACATACATTGCCAGTGGTTCCCAACCGGTTTGCCCTTTTCTATCACTGAGTAAACTAACAACCTCTGACTGAGCAACGTGTTTCATATTGTATTAAAGGCTTAACAATAACAGTACAGAATAACTGATAAACTGTACAATTAAGCCAAATAGTGAATGCAATAACTGCAGGATGTTTGTGTAAAACGAGAGATTTTGAAGAATTCTGCACTGTTTCCTGTGAATATTACATCAGAGATGAGCTTTCCTGATAATTCTGTGGACTATTTTTATACAATTCCCTGTCTGTATCATGTACTTTTTTGGTTTTTTACCAATGGTACATACTTAATAGATGTCTTTTCCAACAGATTCAGTGTTTCCTTCTTATTGTTCTGTTAGGTCATTGGTTCTAATACAACAATAGTTCTTAGATAATAATCTAAACTTTAAAAATTTCATTTTCAATTTCATTTAGTTTTCTTCACAGAAATGACCAAAATGCTGATATACAGTCCAACTGTGTATATTTTTTAGGTTTTCTTACATCCCTTCACATCAAGAAGGCCTCTTGACCCCCCATGAGGCTTTGGTGACCCCCAGGTTGGGAACCACTGTATTAGGCTGATATTCAGCTGACTAGAGTCAAATCCTTTATTGCTGTTAATTAAATATAATTATCATTTCCCCACTAAACAAACCCAAAGTAGACCATTGCCTTGTCCATGCAGTGCATTCACACACGTTAGCCCAGAATATAAGCCACGTATAAACATGAAGTTGATTATCCCTTACGTTACCAGCTAGCATTTGTAGATTTAATAACTAAATAACTAAATAATTCAGAGAATATGTAGATATGTTTATGAATTGTCACATATAGCTATAGATAAACATCTAGTTAAACAACTGACTTGTTGAATCTAAAAAGCTGTTGAAAATGTACAAATACATATAAAATATATGTTGGAGGACTACCTACTACCAAAGCAATTATGTTATAGTTTACAAACTGTATCTTTTTATCTGGCTTGATGAAGGTTAGGGTTAGGGAAGAACAGGCAGTTCAAAACAAGCTGACTTCCTCTCAGAAAGAGAAAATGCTTAGTTGTTCTTGAACTGTCATGATGTGGTCAGTAGAAGGGGAATGGGTGCATAAGAAGAAGGGCTTCCCTCATTTTCATAACCTATTCCCCCATTTTCCTTTTTATACAGTAATGTTCAATTCCCCTTGTGCACAATTTACTCTCAGTCTATTTTCGGTCTCATTCATTTGTGGTTTTAGGCATCCCTTTTAGTTTTGTTATGCATTTCCTTCCCATTTGAAACGGTATTAAGGTCCAGTTCTCTTATTCCGCTTATGGTAAATGAATGTTTCAATGTTTTAATCACGTCTTCAGCTAGAATAGTTGTGAGCCATTTACTATAGATATTTTCATACATAGGTATTTAAAGGGTTATACTGTTGTTTTTAAAAAGTCTAAAAAGTACAAATAACAATTTTGCAACACAGAAAAGCACAAGTGTAAATAATAATATTAATTAGCTGAATTCCTTTTAGATGCTTCAGTTTCAGGGCCACTTGAATAGAAATGAGCCATCATTAATATTATTGATGTTACTGTGTGCTTTACCAACTATGACCATTATAAAAGGACAACTAAGCTATATTTGTTTTTTAGCTTTTTGGCCCTATAAAGTCAATAAA